ACTGTACAAAGTATTATTAAAGTTTTTGATCGAAAAATCGAATTGCTCCCAAATCACGAGGTGGTGACAAAAGATCTATTTTAAATGAACAATATAAAGAATTTTTAGAAGCTGCAATTGAAGAAGAACCATGGATTTCTATTTCAGATCTAGCACAAAAATTAGTAAATCAATTTCTGAATATTCAGGTATACTGATACTTTCAATTTATATATGTATAGTCAGCTCCAAAAGTATATCACGGTTATATGAAAATAATATACAAATCAACAATAAAATATTATAACTAACTCTTGATATAAAAGTCACTGGATCCAATCCAAATCTTTCTTATATCAAAGACTTAAAATTTTCAAATAGAACTTGTAAAATCTTTCTTATGCTAAGAGTTTCTTATATTGACCATTTCTTATATCGAGAGTTATTTGTATTTATTATTGCTCGATTAGAGACTTTGTTAATAAAACAAAGAAAAAACATATGGGAATAGGTCTGCTATCCTGAAGACTCCTAATTGTACTAAAGTTACTGTCTCGAATATAATCCCATACCTCTAAACCTTTGAACTCTAGTCTGAACAGTTTCAAAACTGTTATCCCTTAGGTTCAACAGTAATGGGACTAATTACAAATCAATTTGTTAATAAAACATACTCTAAGAAAGGAACTAGCAAATTAGATAGCGATATACAGAGGATCAAGTCTATAATACTAATGTACACTTAATTGAGCATGGTCTCTGCACTACTAATGCAGCCTCAGAGCCAAGCTTATTTGAACTGCGATGTCATAAGCTTGTTGTGGTCATTGTACTATTTCAAGTCACAGAGCCACTTAACAATGGGTGGGCAGAGATGGCCAATAGAGCCAGCCTTCACTAAGGTGAGCATAGCAAACAAAAGAATAACCAACTTTTACTTGAAAAAAGATTTTTAAATAGCCCTTAACCTGACTAAGCACACCTACTACCCCTTTCACTTGCTATTCATATGCGCAATCATAATACTAGCTTACTATTCACATGCATAATCCTAAACATTAAATGATAAACTACTCTTTACTATTAGTTATTTGCCATCTTAAGAAAACAATTACTATAACCAGTTAAGAAACACCTATCATAGATTTACTCACAATACCT